CACGCGTAATACTTCCACGCGTCGTATTTCTACGCGTAGTATTCCCACGCGTCGAATATCTGCGCACAGTATTCCCACGCGTCGTATTTCTACGCGTAGTACTTCCACGCGTCGAATATCTGCGCACAGTACTTTCACGCGTCGTATTTCTACGCGTAGTATTCCCACGCGTCGAATATCTGCGCATAGTACTCCCACGCGTCGTATTTCTACGCATAGTACTTCCACGCGTCATATTTCTATGCGTAGTGCTTCCACGCGTCGAATATCTGCGCACAGTACTTCCACGCGTCGTATTTCTACGCGTAGTATTCCCACGCGTCGAATATCTGCGCATAGTACTCCCACGCGTCGTATTTCTACGCATAGTACTTCCACGCGTCATATTTCTATGCGTAGTGCTTCCACGCGTTGAATATCTGCGCATAATACTTCCACGCGTCGTATTTCTACGCGTAGTACTTCCACGCATCTGATATCTACGCGTAGTACTACCATGCATCCTATCTCCACGTATCATATCTCCACGCGTCGTACTATCATGCGCTGTATTTCCACGCATTCTATCTCCACGCCTTGTATCGTCATATGTATATTGCTTTTCCACACGTTGTATCACCTTGAGTAGTATTACCACGCCTTGTATTGCCACGTGCAGTATCTCCACACCTTCTATCGTCACGTGCAGTATCTCCACGCGTTGTACGTCGTTATATTAGTATGTTATGTGATGTTTACCAACATATTATGTCGCCTCGGGATACATCGCCACATATCACTTAGCTTTATGTCACGTTCCCACATTCAGGAGGGAAAGAACCTCTAATATTTTATTTCTGTTTTTTGTTTTGATCATTAAACTCATTTGCTGCTGTAATTATGTGTAATTAACTCATTGAAGGTAATGCAACGTAATCGATACCGATAACGCGCAAAACTTGTTCCCAACCGATGTCACGCTCGATAACTATAACATTGGATTATTCTGTTTGTTTATGTAATTTTTTATACCTTGTGTATCACAAATTCTATTAAAGTTATTTTGAATATTATATATCCATAAATGTAATTGAGTACTTTATATAATGTAATTGAAAAGTAGTCTTTATTTAAATATTTTTCTATGTTGTCTTACCATCATTTGTTTGCGTAATCAGTGTAATTTAAGTGCTGCATAATTTAATCAGTTTAATTAGAGTTAATATTGAAAACATCTTAATGATAGCTTACCTTGATCTTGAATGTCAAAAAAAAATACTGATCCATATTACTTGATAATTGCAACTTCCTATTTATGTTACATGCAACGTTTTTAATCATTTTTTATTTAATTATCTCCTGTTCAAAAATATTTCCATATTTTTTTTATTTAAAGATAATCAACTTGGCGAGTAAAACTCTTGCAAGCAAAATGGTGGACCATGCAACAATGTTGATATGTTCTTGATACACTTCGAAGCAGCTTATATAATTCTTTACAGTTTAACAACACTGTGTCATCGTATAATTTTCTATAGCACAGTGTGCGCAAGAGTGGAATGAACAGATTTAATTGGTGCTTGCAACTTTGATTCAGTAAACGATGCTGTAACTTCAAGCAGATACTGTAATAAACGCAGGCGTGACTAAGAGTTCAATTAACTTTATCAAAATGGAGAAAATTGTGTGTTTTTTTTCTCTTACGTAACGCTTTTAAATAACTACTATCGCTACAATGAAACAATATGCAGATTTTCTGTGAACGAAATATTGTAATGTATCTGCAACAAATTTTAATAATTTTGATATTTAAATTGTAATTTGGTGTTTATATTCTAAATGTACTTCTATTAAAACTTATTGTCTGAAATTAGAGGAAGTTTTACATAAAATATTTTGCTACTATTTCTTTGTTTGACATCAAATTTTCTAGGTTCAAAATTTGTTTCAAAAATTGCAACAATTTTAATTGAAAATTTTAGAAATTGCAGACATTAATTTTTATACTATACAGTTTGCTTTAATTTTAATATTAAATACTGTCTGGAAAGTTTCTAAAAAATCTTGCAATTTGAGCCACAGTCATTTATAAAACTTGTAAATATTAAATATTTAATTTTATAATATTAAATGCTGTTTAGTGAGTTTCTAAAAAATCTTGCAATCTGAACTACAATAATTTTTAAAACTTCTTCAATATTGGATTACAAGCAAAATGTTAGTTAAAATTTATTTCTTTTCTTGAAGCTATATCTTCACACGTCCCTGAACACAGCTGCCATAAACTACCCTAAATTCTTTACCAAATTCTTTACCACCCCAAAGCCTTTATTACCAATTAATCGTTACGATCCAAAACCGTGCTCGATGACGCGATCTGATCAGCACAGTTTTCCTAGAAATCCTTCGTACAATATCTCGAGCACGTATGCACTTATATATGGCAGTTCCAGAAATACAGTTTTCGATCAGCGGCCGTAATATCGAAAAAATGCGAAGCACGCAAAAAGTAGGTTCCGGCGAAGGCCGGAAATAAGGAAGCTTGATATGTTGCCAATGAATGCAATTAAACGGGACAGGAACTTCTTCGATTTCGGGGATGTCTATTAAAATAGCGTCGCCGAAAATAGTAGATCCATAAAGTTCGGCGTTTGTCAACCGCCGGGTCCATGACTCACATGTCACCCGAGGACGCTGCGACGAAATTTGCATCTTAGCGCCACTTTTCGCTAAACTGACAATGATTTATTTCCATTTGACTCGTCATTTATGGCTGCGATGAATTAACTGCAATTTTTTATGTTGCCTCGAATAGATTTATGATATATTCAAGACAAATACAAGTGTATGTGGTTTTTATGGGTGTATGGGGAAATAAATTATGAGGTACTGTAACAGATATTTGAAGTTTTGTAGTTTTTTATTTGTAGATTTTTCGTATTTTGTGGTGGTAGATTTTTAGGTACAATTTTATTCACGGATTTTTTAGGTTATGTTCGTGGACGTCTAAATCTGTGGATTTGTGGATTGCAAAGTTTATGCATTTTGAGAGCTTCAAATTCTAAGAACTGCAGACTCATAGAATTGCAAATTTTTAGACTTCCAATTTCCTAGATTGCCTTACACATAGTTCTGAAAATCCTGAAATCTGTAGGTATAGAAATTTCTAAGTTGTGACACTTCTGGACCCCTGCATCTCTAGATAACTATACTCCTAGATCCTCAAGTTTGAGACTTTGTAAACTCTAAAGTCTTGGAATTTCTAGATCCTCAAATTACTACGTTCTCAAATTTCTAGGTTCCCATATTCCTAGATGCCTAAACTCCAAAGTCCCCAAATTCTAAGGTCTCTGAGTTCCTAAATCCCCAAATTTCTATGCACCTAAATCCTAAGTCTCCTCATCTCAAAATAAAAAAATTTCAAGGGGTGGAAATTCTTAAGTTTCCAAATTTCTAAACCCCCAAATCCCTAGATCCCTAAATTCCTACGCTTCCAAATTTCTAACCCCCCAAATCCCTAGCATTCCATATTCCTACGCTTCCAAATTTCTAACCCCCCAAATCCCTATATCCCCAAATTCCTACGCTTCCAAATTTCTAAGCCCCCAAATCCCTAGATCCCCAAATTCCTACGCTTCCAAATATCTAAACCTTCAAATCCCTAGTTTCCCAAATCCATAAATCTCCAAATTTCTAATCCCCCCAAATCCCTAGCTCTCCAAATTTCTACGCTTCCAAATTTCTAATCCCCCCAAATCCTTATGTCCCCAAATTCCTACGCTTCCAAATTTCTAAACCTTCAAATCCCTAGTTCCCCAAATCCCTAAATCCCCAAATCCCTAAATCCCCAAATTCCTAAATCCCCAAATCTCCAAATCCCCAAATCCCTAAATCTCCAAATTCCTACATCTCCAAATTTCTAAATGCATCTCCCTAAATCCGTAACCTTACAAATTCCCATGTCCCCAAATTTCCAAACCGTCAAATTAGCTACTAATATTCCTACTAACATCCCCAAATCCCTAAATCTCCAAATTGCTTGTTTGTCCACGTTGACCTAAATAGCCGAAATTTTAAAAGCACCGAAGGGATGTTACGAGCAATTGCAACGGGGACAGGAAGTGCAGATAAAGTTTAAACCTCTTCAAGTTTATGCCCAGTTACGCGGTTAGAGTTTCTACGTACACATGGCCACGCGTTATACACGTTTTATGCGTTTTCGAGGGGATTCTAAATAAAGCAGCAAGAATTCGGTATAGCGGGTTAGGTTGTCCCTTCATAAAAGACGAACTGCCGCGAGCACGCGTTCATCCGCTCGGAGAAATTACTTCATCGCTAGAAGTTCATTGCATCAGGAAAATCTACATCGGAAACTGTTCTGAGGGAAATCGAACGAATGTTTCGATTCATTTAATGGGAAAATTGGTGTGGGACGTTTCATTTATTCTGATTTTTGTATATCGATATTTTTGAATACGTTGATTGTACGACGATGAAGAAATAGAGAATTATGGAGAATGAAGATTGATAATTTAGAGTTGTAACTTAAGCAGTTTGTCCTTATGACGTCATAAATGGTTCAATAAACAGTTTCATAAACATGTGACACAGTTTTTAAGCAAATTAACACCCGTTTGATTCAAACTTCGCTTAAAGCTGGAACAAACCTACTCGATCTAGAATCAATT